GGGGGGATAGCATTAGGAGATATACCTAATATAAATGAGTTAATGGATGCAGCACACCAACATGGCACATGTATACCTATGCAACAAACCTGCACTTTGTGCACATGTACCCTAGAACTTAAAGTATAATAAAAAAAAAAATAATAATAATGCTAAACAAAAACAAAAACAAAAGCAGAACAGCATATCCCAGAGGGGGCTGACCTGTCAGCCTGAAACTCAGAGAGAAGAGGTGTGGAGCAGAGTCACAGTTAGCCCTCGACCGATAAAGACAGCAGAAAGAAGACACTCTTTCTGACAGCCAGCCACTGAGATGCGGGGCTGTGATTACCACACTGAACCCACCTAAGCACTCGATCAACCTCTGAATGATGTATGTCAGGGCCAAAAAGATCTAAACGCTATTTATGACTTTACTGATTAAATGCCTTACTGGGGGGGTTCCCGTTTTGGCTTGAAAGTTAAATGTCAGTGTCTATCATCAAGCCTGAATCCCACGCCTATCCTGGATGCTGGGAAACCCCGGAGGCTGGCATTTGTACCCCTCCACATCCAGCTCACGACAGCCAAACCTGAATCCCCCTTGAGGGTCAGTCACCATGATCCCTGATGCCAACAAGGATTAGGCAGTTACCATCTGCCAGTGGAACTGCCAGCGGACTCTAACAACCACATGAGGCGGTTCTATGATTGAGCGGTTAAGATCTCAGAGCTAGACAGCCTGGATGTAAAATTGGGGTCCCTTCCTCACTAACTGGATAACCACAAACAGGTTACTTTCTCTCTCTGTGTCTTGATTTCTTCAGTTAACGTCTCCACACTTTGGTTACCATTCTTCAAAATGGTAACCATTTATGGGAACGTTTTAGAGACAAAATGAATTAGTATGTGTAAATTGTAGAGAATAGTTCCTGATACAGGTTTTGTTCTCCATAAATAATAATTATTTTCATTATCATTAACATTATTATAGTCTTCATGTTACAGGAGGCAAACCAATGCACAGAGAGGTTAGGTGACTCATCCAAGGCCACACAGCCTGTCAACAGTAAAGTTAAGTGTGTCTCCTCCCTAATCCAGGGAGATAACATCTGAACAGGGACCTAGCCTCAAATGGCCTGCCCACCTGTCTATACCCTCAGAACCCACTTGTCCCCAATTCTCCACAAGCTTTCCCAACCTCTCCGAACAGGCCAGTTCCCCTTTTCGTGAACCTCGATGGAAAGGCCTGTGTGTGCCACTCCATTTGGCATCAAACCATTCACATCGTGTTACTGGTGGCTGCGTTCTGGGTGTCAGGGTCCTCTCCCACTGTGGCTGTGACATTCTTTCAAGGCCAGGGCTGTCATATTACCTGGTGGTCACCACAGTGCCCTTTCCAGAAATATGCCGGAGTAAGCCCAGATGATCTGAGAAGGTGCACAGCAAGAAGAGAACACCCTGGGCAGGGCAGGGAGCCATCATTCACTTGGACGGGCTCAGCCTCCCGCAGAGACAGCATTGGGTCAGTTCCCTCAGTGAACAAAGAGGCTACTGTTCGGTGAAAAGTAGGCAAAGCTAACCATGGTTCAGGCATTTGAGGAAAAATGGAGAACAGAACTCACCTGGGGCCTAGCTTTCAGGAATGAAGTGGTTGTTCCCTTTTCTCCTGGGAATCTCTCTGGAGGAAGAGCAGGATTCCGAGAAGGGGAAGCTGGGAAGGTAGAAGGAGACATAAGGGAAGCTGACCCTGCTGGCACACACAGCTCTCAGACTTTCCAACCCTGAGACCCAGAACAGCTCTGAATGTCACCTCCGTGGTCCTGAGGACACCAGTGGGTCAAAGGGATCTGAGAGGCAGCTTCTAGCCTTCAAACACTGAGAGAAGTGCCCTTGTACACAGCTGCATGAGGCTCCCATCTGTCCACAGGCCCACATCAGTCTACAGGTGAGTGAAGTGTGACCAGTCTGGCCACACCACTGAAGTTATTTGCTGGGCATACGGTATGCAGGTCATCTCCTAGGACTTTTGGAAATATAAACATGGAAAAGACCTTCAAGGAACTTTCAATCTAGCCTACAGGTTAACAACTACACAAGACCCAAGGCAAGGCCATGCGGGATGATGAGGCTTTAAGGGGAGGAAGTTACACCTCTCCCCTCATCCTTGGGAACTCAGCTCAGAGGCTACCTCTTCCTGAGAAGCTGCCCCTGGTGTTCCCAAGCTCTGTTAGGTCTCTGCAGCACACCTGAGAGCTCCTTCGTTAAAAAGCTTTGTATCATACTGTTTGCAGAGCCTTAAAACAAACAAAAAAACTAGCCCAAATCATGCCAGAGTAGTTAAGGCTAACAATATGGATGTAAGCAGGCAGCATAGCATAGGTCTGCACTCCTCAAGCTTCATGTGTGTGTGGATCCCTGAGGATCTTGTGAAACTCCAGTTCAAGACTTGCTAGGACCCTGTTTGAGGATGTGTGGGGCCCCAGAGTCTGCAATTCTAGAGAGCTTCTGGGCAGTGCCTCTGCTGGTGCCAGAGCCACACTGATTAGCAAGGGTATAAAGGAAAAAAGGGTTGGGAGGCCCAGGGACTGGGCCCAGTTCTTCCACTGGCCAGTTTTGTGTCCTTGAGTATGTGCACTGAAGGATGAACAGTCGGATTAAAACGGCCACCTGGTGAAAGACAGGACGTTCTAAACCTAGGACTGGCTTAAAATCTCCTGGGTCCCCTGGATTGCCCTGCCCCAGTGCTACCGGGGGAAGGGCTCACAGGCGGTGCCAACCGTGTACACTGCTGACCTTACACACTGCTGAGCTAGAAGGGCTGGAAGAACCTTATTAGTGAGGTGATTAAGGAGGTGGATGACAAGGCTCCAAATGGCCCTATTGTTCTCTGATCCCTGGCCAAGGGCCACTCCCTCTTGGGTTTGCTTGTCCTCTCCCTGTAGCAGCAGGACGAGATCAGATCCTCTTCTGCTCTCCTCGCTCTCCTCTCTCTCCTCTGGCCACTGGGACAATTTTCCGTGGCCATCCCCTCCACCTCCGCCACGGTCATCTAGAGACCCCTGCCAGACCCAGCAGGCCGCGGCTTCAGCCTCCTGGGTCTGGAAGGTTAGATGTCACCACAGGGAAGGCAGACGCAGTACAGCCTTCCCCTTCCCCTTCAGTGCGATTCCCCGGCCTCTTCCTGGGGTCCTCCTGACATTCGGGCCCAGTACTAGCTCCCCAAGAGGGCTCCTGGCCCTCTGCACGCTCCAGAGCCAAACCTGATGCTGTGGAGTCCATAGCTGGGGCTAAGGAGCGACGTCCTTTCACTAGGTCCAAATCTCTGTCTTTCGGCCACAGCCCTGCGGTCCTTCCGAGGGTTCAGGGAGCGGGACGCAGGCTGGGGCTGCCTGGGGCACACGGGGCATCCCCAGTAGGCGCGGCGGGGCCAGCGG